CTGTTCCCTTCAGCAGTGTACTTTGTCAATCTGCCTCTCTGCACCCCACTCTGTCTCTGGTGAATCGTCTCACCGCCCCTGAACCTCTGGCCTATACCCCAATTCTGTATGCACAAATAAATAAATCTTTATTTAAAAAATCATCTATTACAAAAGCATTTAATAAAAAGGAAAATGTTAGCCCCTCCATGGTGGCACAGTGGGTTAAAGCACAGAACTAAGAAGCTAAAGCTACTTCAGCATGAATTCGATCCCTACCCCAGAGGTGACCCACATGGCATGGCAGACCTCTCCTGACCCACCTACTGCTCCCCTCAGCAGTGTACTTCATCAGTCAGCCTATTCTCCTCCCCACTCTGTCTCTGGTGAGTATTCTCACCACCCCTGCACCTCTGACCTGTACCCCAGCTCTGTATGTATAAATAAATAAATCTTTTAAAAAAAAAAAAAAAAGAAAGGAAAATGCCTCAGGAATGGAGAAGATAATCCACTTTCCCAGAGCAGCACATGGCTTAAAAATTTGGACTCCAGAGCCCAAATACTTGAGTGTTTGTATGTTCAAATCCTGGCTCTGCCTCTAACTAGTGTTCAGCCTGGGTGGGAGTCTTACTTCCTTCTGTTTTTGTTGCCTAGCTCTTGAGAATGTAAAGATTAAATGAGTTAAATTCATAAAAAGAAAACACCCCCCAAATGCTTGTTGTTATAATTATTGGTGCTGCTGTTGTTTTCCCAGGTCACAAACCAGTTTCAGGGATTTTTATCATTCAGGAAATATGTATTAAGCACATGTTATGTGTTAACCACTCTCCTAGTTTCTGGGGTTCCATCAACAAAATTTCTGCCCTTATGAGTCTTACATTTTGGTAAGAAAAGACAGACAATAAATTATAAACTTAATAAATGAGAAGATTTTCTAGTAAATAGTAAAGGTACTAAGTGCTATGGAAAAAATAAAATAAATCAATAAAACCCTAGGAGGAATCCTGAGTTAGGAAGTAAGGGTGGCAATATTAAATCAGGTCATCAGTGTAGAATTCATAAAAGTATGACATGTAAGTTAACACTTGAAGATAACAAAGAAAGGGGCTTGAGGATAACTGAGGGAAGTACATTCAGGCTTAGTTCAAGGCCTTGTGTGATAGTGTGCCTGGAATGATCAAGGAACAACAAAAACATAAGCCTTACTCAAACAGAGTAAAGGAAAAAAGAGTAGAGATGAGAGGGGGGAAAAAAGATATTTAAAAGATCATTAAGGAGTTTCTAAAGCCACAGTAAAGAATTAATTTACTCAGTAAGTAGTAGGAAGCTGTTACAAAAATTTGAACAGAATAATAACCTGATGGGAATTATATTTTTTAAAGGCATTTTTTAAAAGAATTTATTTATGAATACAGAACTGGGGTACAGACTAGAGGTGCAGGGATGGTGAGAAGATTCACCAGAGACAGTGGGGAGCAGAACAGGCAGATTACGAAGTACCCTGCTGAGGGGAGCAGCGGGCGGGTCAGGAGAGGTCAGCAGCACCGTGTGGATCACCTCTGGGACAGGAATCAAACTCAATGTGAAGTGGCTTTAGCTTCTTAGTGCTGTGCTCTAACCCTCTGTGGCACCGAGGAAGGCCACCCTGCTGCTCTATTGAGACCAACCTGTCCTAGGTATTTGTTGGTAATATGCAAGAATGCACACAAACTGTTGAAGTCAAACTACTGAAAGCCACAAGGGAAGAACATTTGGATTGAATCCAATCATTTATATTGATTTCTGGCATTGTGACATGGAATTGTATACTTTGGATGGGCTGATCTTCAGAGACCTCACCTATTAAACAATGGTATAGCCAGGAAAGATGTTTAGGAGATAACATTTTGAAGAAGAGCTTTCTGGAGTTATTTTATATATTGCATAGATTTTCACAAACAAGGTGCCATTATCATTAGATCCTTGTGCATACTTATATGTCTGTAATTTTTAAGCTTATTTTCCATTGTGGCATGGAAGAAATCAGGAAAGAAAACAAATTTTCCTCCAAGGTGGTTTCCATGCTCACACCTTTGGACTAAGACAGCCTATCTAAATAATTTCCTGTGTTGTTGGCATATTCCTGAGAATATAGACTATAATTAAATAATGGTGAGTAAATTCAAATCCTGCAGTCCCAAAAGATTGATGTGCAGCAGATCAGGATTCAAAAAAAAAAAAAATTTTCATCTTGACAAGAACTTTACCCAAGAAAAAGTGCTTCTTGACCCCATCATCCACACAGAAGCCAGATTGCCCAGTAATTTGCTGAAAGGAAAACAAAGAATCTTTATCAACATCATTCCCAGTGTCTCTCAGGAGACTTCCTCCTGTGTAGCACACTGGGAGCTGAGTCCTCACATGAGCTTTATGAGCTTTATGTATTATCCTTATGTTAAAGAAAAGAGTACTTGAATTCAGAATGATTATGTTACACAAATCAAATTGCACAGCTAGTAAATGATTGCATGGGATCTAGAGCTAGATATGTTTATATATAACAGACTTCTTTGCACTAACTGAGGGTGAAAAATGCCAACTCAATGGATCTTCTATAGCCCACATTCCAGAAAACATTAAGGTTTCTGGGAAGGTGAGAAAGGAAGTCATAATACCTCAAAATAAATTGACATCTGAAGGCCCAGTGGAGCATTCCCTCAGCTCCACTTCTGAGGGGTGAATATTTTCTACAGCAGATGATCTAGACCATAGTGACAGGGAAGGTTAAAAGGGTTTCCCCAGTGTCTAAGATACTCTCTGTTAAAACCAAGTAACAGTGCCCTCCTGGTGGTGTAACAGGTTAAAGCACAGCACTATGAACCTGGCTGTAGCAGCTTCAGCATGAGTTTGATCCCTGGCCCAGGAGGTGACCCACATGGCATGGCAGACCTCTCCAGTCTCGCCCATTGCTCCCCTCAGTAGTGTACTTTATCAGTGTGCCTATTCTGCTCCTCACTCTGTCTCTGGTGAATCCTCTCATCACCCTCTGCACTGCTGGCCTATACCCTAGTTCTGTATGCATGAATTAATAAATATTTAAAAAAGAAACTAAACAACAGCCAAAAAATACCTATCAATTCATTATTGATATTTCTGGAATATATGCATAGCAAAAATAAGTAACTGCTAATCTATTTGAGATATCATCTTTGAGTTTAGGTAATATGACATGATAGAGACTACATAAAAATTTAGACAACAATACGTAGCAGTGTATAGTTCAATTCCAAAAGAGGGGGTGAATTCAAAAAGAGGGGGATGTCTATAAACAAGTAGTCAGGGAAATTTCCCAGAGAAAGTAGAGCATCAATTAATAGTTACAGAATGGAAAATTGTGTATAAATAATGAAGAGGAAATAAAGAGCTGAAGAATGAGTGTGTATGTAACAAGATGATTTTAGAAACTCCACTCAATGACAGGGGTCAGGGATAAAAGCAACATTTATTAAATGCTGACTATGTACCAGGTTCCTATGCAATGAATGAATTTAATTTCATTTAGTTTTTACAACTTCCTAATTGGGTAAATAATATTATTATCCTTTTATAAATGAAGAAATTGAGACCCACTGTTTCAAATAAGCCATCCAGCTGGTAAGTGGCAAAGAGTCAAACCCAGAGTTTCCTGATTCCAGTGCTCTTGCATTTCTCTCATTCCATAAATGGGAGGTGGCGCCCCCTTGAGGAGAGATCAGTGAGGATGAAGAGTCCCAACCCCTACTCTATGAAACAAGAACAAAGTACCAGTGAGGGTGAAGATTCAGATCTGAAATAAAAGTGACTATGGAAGCATCCCCAGAGATTTAGCATTTTGGGGATTTCAGTTTCTTCCAAGATTCATCTCCTCTGGGGTCAAGCAATCCTGCACCACCACACCAATCTTCCAGAAAGCTGTAGCAGCTCACTGAAGGGTGTGGAGAGGCTTTTAGCAGTCAGCCTCAGAGTAGTACAAGGCTTTGTAAGAAACCAAGCAACTGGAACTGTTCCCAGCTTTGTGGCTGTTATAGCCTGAAAGGTTCCTCACTGAGTTGTGTGAGTGTAGGCCGATTGTCAGGTCATTCAGCTACTGCAGCTTCTGTGTCCAGTGTCACTTGTCTGGTCCTGTGCTGGCACATTTTGGCAGCTCCAGCAAGCATCTCCTGTCATGTCTTCTGCTGTCTTCATGAGTTGCAACCTAGCCTATTTTCTGGCTGCCATGTGCCCCAACTCTTCAGTGGGAGGAAGATGTCATCCTAGGAATGATGGCCTTTTGTTAAGTATAGGTGTTCCATATCTTAAGTGGTAGGAAGACGCCATCTTAGATGCATTTTTTTTATGACTTCAAAACACTAGACATTGCTTCAGGTCCCATAATTGGCCACTCTGGGCCTCAATGACTCCTTGTTTTTCCTTGTTTGTTAAATAAATCCAATTATTTTTGTTCTCTGAACCTGAATTGCAATTGTGTGTGAGGGTTAAGTACTCAGATAGTGACCAATAAAGCTTTGTGTACAATCCTTGGCCATTTTTAATGCCTCTCATTGTCTGGGATCAAATTGACAAGAAATTTAAATTATTATGTAAGGGGATAACTTACTAAAAGTAATATGTGAAGAATAATCTGGTACTGGTATGTAGGGTGGACTGGAATAGTGAGAAAATGGAGACTAACTAGGCTGGAGATAATTTCTCTAAACTAGAAATAGATTAGTAATTGTCAGTGGCTAATAGTTAATCTGGATAGGCCAGGTACTCGGTAATACAAGTAAGCTTTAGATACACTGGGCCAAGACCAATGTACCTTATGGATTGCACAATGTTTCACTTGGCCCAACAATTGAAAACTAAATGTATTTGGGATGGAAATAACATCTATATAAATGCAGCACATAATGTGATCTTCTGCAAACATGGTTTATGCAAATGGATACAAATAAAGGAAGGAAGCCTGGATTATAAAAAGTGGTAAACATTACTCAGTCTCTAGAGCTCCAGTTTTGAAAATGAAAATCTTTCTACCACTAATCTTTCTGGTTTTTATTTGTTCCCCAGGGAAGGCTAGAGATAGACACTACAATATAGGCATTAGAGAAACTGCTTGGAATTATGCTCCTACTGGCAAAAATGTGCTCAATATGAAGCCTTTTTCAGAAGATCAGTAAGTAACAACTTTACTTGGAAAAAGTTACTCACAGAAGCCAATAATGGTAATTGTTACTCATGAATAAAATGATTATAAAGGATGCTTATGATTGACCCTATAAGGCCACATTTCCTTTACTTTTGTTTTGTTTTATACAAGCATGGTATGAAAGACAGACATTAATACAAATCAGAAATTCTTCCTACCTGGGATTATCACCACTCTTGCCCTGGTGACACAGATAATTTCCAATTCTGTGTTTATCATCACTTTTCTTGGAATGGTGCGCAAGATGTAAAATAATACTTTTCCTCTGCTATGGATTGGATGGAAGAGATTTTCATCTGATAAAACATTTTACTCTTTCTAGTTCAAATCTGTTAAAGTATCTTGTTTTTTGCTTATTTTTTACAGAGAATTTTACTCCCGAAAGTATCTCCAACAAGATCAAGATAGGATAGGATATGTTTATAAAAAGGCTTTGTATTTCCAGTATGCTGATGATACATTTCAAACAATCATTGAAAAACCACCTTGGTTGGGATTTTTAGGTCCAATAATTAAGGCAGAGACTGGAGACTTCATTTATGTGCATGTAAAAAATTTTGCTTCTAGAAGCTATAGTTTCCATCCTCATGGGCTCACTTATAACAAGGAAAATGAAGGTAAGCTGATGTCTTTCCTTGTATTCCAGAACCCAATACCTCAGAGAAGGAAAGATATCATTGTGAACTCAGAGTTACCTAAGGTGTATATAGATGCTTACTTCTGATATCTTGAATTCAGGATATTGCCTTATCAATTTCTCATCTTGAATGAATGACTACCTTGTACAATTCCTGGAAGAAACTTTTCACATGGAATTTTTTTTTTCTTACTAATACATAAGTAAAGTCTTTCTGTAGGAGACAATCACGAGCTAAATGTTTCATTAGCGGAAATACTGTTCTGCCCCCATCTCATTTCATTTCCTAGCAGATGGAATTAGCTTCTTGGAATACTTGAGTGTTAACAGGAATCATTACTGCTTTCCAGAGAGTATTTTCCCTCCTATAAAGGTACATTTACAGATGCCTGAAAAGTGTTGGGGGGGGTGGAGGTGGTAAAGGGGGGAGGGAGACAAAGACAAGTAGGGTTGTGTTCAAACACAGAGCAGGAAGGGTAAAAGAAGAAAAATCAGACCAGAACTCTTCTATTAAATTTAGTATTTTTCCATAGTTATCAGTATTTTAGCCTCAAAAGACAGAAATTTGAGGTGAAATTCCTAGAGCAGAAGGAAGAAAGGAAAAGTAGGTCCCAGATTTAAAGCTGAGTAATTGTTTAAGCTACTCTCAGCTGTTCAGAGGGCAAATTCCCAACTCTTGTGGACTGTGGAGACATCATGGAAACCCCTTGTGCTATAGGTTCCAAATCTGGCTTGAGTCAAAGAAAATATGTAGAAAAATGAAGAAACCTAGCTCTCTGTATATGAAATCTAGGCAACAAATATTTGCAAAACTCACCATAAAGATGCTGATAGTCTGTTAATATACTGCCTGCCTCCTTCCAACGTAGTCTGGAAACTGGACAAACTGGACACTTAGATGAACCCAACTATGAGGTTTATAAGGAGGCTGGAGAGAGGAGGGAAGAAGACATGACTACTTTAGTCTAAAACAAAAATCAGCATGCACGTGTGGCTTACTGGAGAAAGCTTGAATCATATTTAAAATAGTGTTGTCTAATTGTCATTATGAACACAATGAAGATTGTATTTTCTAGGTGCTCTCTATCCTGACAATACTTCGAGCTGGAAAAAAAAAGTAGACTATCTGGAGCCGGGAACACAATATACTTACAAATGGTATGTAGAGGAAAAGCAGGGGCCTGGCCCAGATGACAGTGATTGTGTGATTCGGATTTACCACTCTCATATAGAAACTACCAGAGATATGGCTTCAGGACTTATTGGTCCAATTCTGACTTGTAAAAGAGGTAACATATCTTAATTTCATCATAGCAATGTGGTCTCTCCTTCTCATTCCTAGTTGAATCTCACTGTCAAATAAGCTGCCTTTTCCTATCTTGACTTTGATTTCTCATCAGGAAAGTAAAATTGCCCCCCTAGACTCAGCACTAGATAGACACCATTGGTCCAACTCCTCAGCTCAAGTGGAAGAATGCAGGTGGCTCACTAGATGTTAGTCAAACCTAGAAAAATTCACTTCGATACTTTGACACAAAATTATGGCCACATCTCTATCTCCTACTGAGAAGTGTTGAATCAATAGGTGGGAGGAATAGATGAGAGGTTGTCTCCCTACTTCTTGCAGACTTGGCTCCATCAAGTTCTGATAGTTGGAGGTGCAAGATTTTACTTTAATATTTTAAACTGAATCAGTTAAAACCTCAAGTTTATAGCAAAAATAATTATTGCAGAGAGGATATTTTATGTTTTTTTCTTTCAGGCACATTAAATGGAGACACTGAAAAAAATATCAACAAGTCTTATATTCTCATATTTACTAAAGTTGATGAAAACAAGAGCTGGTATATTGATGACAATATTGATACATATACTGAAAATGGCCAAGTTAATGCTAGTGATTCTGGCTTCCAGGAGAGCAATATCATTCCCTGTAAGACTTAAAAATAACTTTATAATTCATAATATCCTGTAATTCTAACTTCTGTGATTTTGTTTAGAAATTTCCTTTATTCAAGATTGTTTGAGTTTGTTTATTTATGTCAGTTTTTACTCAGGACTTGCATGCTTAATATGTAAGGCAACTAGGAAATCCTGCTGGTTTCTGAAGTTCATAACAAACAGTTAGGTAGCTTCATTTACTCTCTAAAATATGATACTGAAAAAAATGTAGATGGCTAAAACATTGGAATGAAGTAATTTTAAGGTAATCAAATATTATGGAAGAACAAAGATGTAGTTGACTGTATATCTTATGAAAATGTGTTCCTATGTAGAATTGTTGAAAAAAGATGATCTTTTTTTCAGTCACCATTATTAGATTCTCACAGCCTTTTTTATTTCTATTCTTTCCCTTAACAACTGTGTCCTGACTTCTGCTTTTTCTCCCTCCTAGTCTCTCTAAATCTTTGCATGCTTTTATCACTTCAAAACATATATAGTGTCTTTGGCCTCCTTTTTTTGGTGAAAATTCAAGTCCTGTTACAGATAATGCCTGAGAACAACGGTCATAAGGAGTGTGTAATGAAGAAATGTCATGGTACCCTGTCTTATCAATCATGACAGGTTTATATTTACTTGTTTTCAGCAATAAATGGATATGTATATGGAAATCTACCTGATCTCATCATGTGTGCAGAAGACAGGGTTAACTGGTACTTTGTTGGTTTGGGTAGTGTGACTGACACCCACAGCATCTATCTCCATGGACAAACTCTGATCTCTCGAAATCATAGAAAAGACACCATTACCATCTTCCCTTCCTCGCTGGAAAGTGCCTCAATGGTAGCCAAGAGCCCTGGAGAGTGGATGCTGGGCTGTCAGATACATGGTAAGAATTTATTACTTGTACCTAACACAGAGAACTTCCAAAATTACAACCCATTATATAGATACACACACACACACACACACATATGTACCCCATTTTATATATATATAAAGCCCATAAAACCCATTATATATATATACACACACATATATAACCCATTATATATATGTGTGTGTGCTCTTTCAGTAGAATTAGATTTTTAGTGATCAGCTTAATGTAGTATACACAGACATTGATTTATAATGACACTTACACATGAAGCTTACATCATATTAGAATGTAATGTTACCCCCAAAAAAAATTTATTTTAAAATTTAAAAGCAACAGACCACTATAGCTACCTTCATGATCCTCTATGCTAAAAAGTATTAAATAATTATAACATATAGCATATCAAATGGCTGTCAGGGTAAGACAGACTTCTTTACTAATAGGATCCTATTTCACTTGAGATAATGGTATAGCCACATTGTAACAAATTTTAAATGAATAAAAAAGAGTATCTGGTGAACTTTATAGCATTTCTTCAGTGTCATCTCCATCTTTCATTGCCTTTGAACTTTTTTACTATTTTTGTGATCATGGTATCTTCTCTGCCAGGAACTTTACTATTTTGTAAAATGAAGAAAGTGGAAAGTAATGCAGTAGGTTCTTGTCCATAGAAATGCAAATGAGTTGTGTTTGGTGGAGCTATAATTGATTAATTAGTCTATTGGTTACTTTTCCATTTGCTTGTGAATTTGGTTGACTGTGTGTCTGTATGTATATTTTATTGCCTCTGTGTGTGTGGGTGTGGGTGTTTTAAGTTCTCCTTTAAGTTCTTTTTTAACTTCTTTTTTTTAAGATTTGTCTTTTTTATTTATGCATACCAGAACTGGGGTGAACAGTGGGGGTGGAGGCTAGTGACAGGATTCACCAGAGACAGATTGGGAAACAGAATAGGTGGATCCACTGAGAGACACACTGCTGAGGGGAACAGCAGATGAGACAGGAGAGGTCTGCTGTACCATGTGAATCAGCTCCCTGGGGGGATTAAACTCATGCCACAGTGTCTGGCAATGGCTTAATAGTGCTGAGGTAATGAGGGAGGCCCCCAGTTTTAACATCTTAATGATTAATACAAGAAAGAAAAATTTTATCACATGTTTATTTAAAATAAACAAATGATGAAAATAACACATAAACAAAAATAAATGCCTCACCTCCCAGATGGAGACACTGACATGTAGTGAGGTGATAGGTTTGTTTTTCAGGAAGCCAGTTCTGACATTTTCAACTTTGTGATAGTAACCCTTTTAGGTATATTTAGGATTTTTTGTTCTCTTTAAAAAAAAAAAAAGACCTCATACTCATTAGCCTGTGAACTTTACAAGAGCTCTAGTGTTACAACAGACATTAGTACAGCTTTTTAAACTGAATTTAACAATTTCAAAATTTTTAACACTTACCCTATAAGAAGCAAAGTCTGGAATTATGTAAAATCAAATTATCCTAATGCAGTACTCTATACAGTACTCCTTATTTGGGTTTATTTCCATCTTCAAACTATCCACTTAATATGATATCCAGTTATTTCATTATTGAACTTTTGTATTCTTAAATGTCACCAAATCTATAATAATATAAATGTTTTGTGTATTTTTAAATCAGAAATCACGGTTGTTAGGAGTAAAGAATTTAACGTTTTTGGTTTGGAAAAGAGAAAACCTTTCTCTATTCAAAATTTTTCATTTCCCTAAATCCCATATGTATCATGTTACTATTAATTATTTAAATAATTAAACAAGGGTGTACTAATACTCTGTCCTGTGTCCCTCCCAAGGGAAGAAGGAAAGCTATACACACCAAACATAATTCAAGCCCTGATTTTGTGATAGAAAAGTGCTCATTTAGAAAGGAATTTCGGGTTAAAAAATGCACTCAATCCCTTTGCAGATACTGTCCTCAAGCAGGTCTTGTGTTCCTCATCCTTAACTCTGCAGAAATATAGGGTCAGTCCTAGGTCACAGCCTAGAGAATTCCTTGGCTAATAAGCCCACCATTATCTCCTCTTTATGTGTCTGTCTACAGTATTTGAGCTGTTTGATTTTAGCAATAACAAGAATATATAAATGGACTTTTGCTGTAAAGGACAGTAGGAAGAAGAAAGAAAAAATGAAGGAAGGGAGGAAGTTAAAAAGAAATGAGGGAAGAAGGGAAGGAGGATGATATACTGACTAATAACATTTGAAGAAAGAAAAGGTTTATTGACAAAAATGTCTTAATGTTTTAAAGATATTTTCTCATTGCTGTTTTCCAGAGAGTATGAAAGCCTTTTTCAGTGTAAAGAATTGTGAAAAACCTTCAACAAGTAACACTAGAACAAATGTTATACATTACTATATTGCTGCTGAAGAAATTTTCTGGAACTATGCCCCATCTGGTGTAGATTTCTTCACTAAAAAAAATTTAACAGCTGCTGGAAGGTAATGATTCTGTGATTAAAATATTTATGGTCTAATAAAGATAACTGAATGTTTTTCATAACTCAGCTACTTTTAAAAAGAGATTTAGATATCTCAAAATAAAAAGATACTGATAAAATAAAGATAGAGAAATAATTATAGCAATAATTAGAAATACTGAGCCTAAGGTTATCTGTCATGCACAATTCTTTGGTAGTCTATGCATATAAAAACATACTGCTCATCTTTTTCCTATCACTAAACTTTTGAATAGATTTATTTTATTATTATGGAACATGATGTAACATCATAGTAGAACAATGTTATCAATAGCAAGTTTACAGAAATTCAAAAACATTTATCATATGTAATTTATCATCTACTACAATCTGATGATATAATTAATTTCTTACAAAATCCTTAAATTACGTAAATATTTTTATCAATAACACCTAACACTATATTACCAACTGTTATTTTAATTACCAATAGTAAGACTAAAATATATCATCATGACATCAGCATTTAGAAGCACACAAAGTTTTCCAGATAATTTGACTAGACTATATATTAACACTTGAAGATTAAAGTTGTGGTCCTTCTCATCAACTGAATAAAGATTATATTTCAGAAAATACCAAATTTTAAACTTCCTAAAACTAATGTTTCCTTAAGATTTATTTTTCTCTAGTTCAGTTATAGGAAATTTGAGAAAATTAGGAATGCTATACCAAATAAATATTTCTATTCTTACTTTTTTCTACTAAGATTTATTTATTTATGCTTACAGAACTGAGGTATAGGCCAGAGGTGTGGTGGGTGAGAGGATTCACCAGAGACAGTGTGGGGAGCAGAACAGGCAGATCAACGAAGTACACTGCTGAGGGGAACAGCGGGCAGGTCAGGAGAGGTCTGCCACACCATGTGGGGCAGCTCCCTGGCTGGGGATAGAACTCGTGCTGCAGTGGCTTCAAACAATTAGATTCCGAGTTAGGTCCAACTTTGATTTTACATTGATGAAATTAAGAACAAATTGATAGCATTTCTTTAGCTTGCTTGATTCTCCTGGCTATGAAATTTATATCTAAGCACTCCAAGTCACCACTTTGTTGTACAGAACACTTTTTCTCAGAGTACTCTATTTTACTATAATAGAATAAAAAATAAGAATGACATCTTAGTATTATATCATTCTGTATATAACTGTTTTAAAAGCAATGTTTGTTACCACCTATTTGAAAAAAAATCAGACATCATGTCTTTTTAATTTTTATTACAAAAGAAAATTTATAAATAAAATGCTAAGTGTACAGGCACAGTTACCTGTACAGCCAATCATAGACAAAAGAAAGAAAATGCTGACAGTAGCTATATATAGATGGTGGGATTGTGAAGGTTTTCATTTTATTTGTCATATTTCCCACATTTTATACAATGAGAATGCATTGTTTTATAATCAAGTAAATGACAAGTACTTTAAAACATATATGTAGACTATTGATTTCTTTTTATATGACTATGATAAATTTTAAAAGTTCTTTGTGTTATCTGCTTTCTCTGCACAGTGAATCCCAGCTATACTTTGAACAAAGCTCAACCAGAATTGGAGGAACTTACAAAAAACTGGTTTACCGAGAATACACAGATGCTTCCTTCCAAATACAGAAGGCACGAAAAGAGCATATGGGAATCCTTGGTAAATTCTATTCATTGCATGTGGGGTTATAAAAGTCATTTAAATGTAATTTGTGCAATCACCAACTCAGTTTTAGAGAAGTTAGCTGTCAGCTTATAGTCCTTATAAAAGGAATGCTTTCTGATTCACCCATTTATGTTTAGTGAGGTAAATTGATTTACAGCACTGCATGTTGTTCAGAAGCAGAGTATAAAACCTCTACAGATGTATATTACCACACTATGGCCCCCACAAGACATCCATGATCTTTCATCATAAGCCATTGTCATTCACCCAATATTTCACTCCCTTACTATACCCCTAAGAATCCAATAAGAGTAGTGCATTCATGTGATCCAGGATAACTTTACAAGATCCTATATCACTGAAGCCTCCTGCAATTGTTTGTTTCCAATTAATGAATTTATCCCTGTAAATTGTACCTAGTAGAATTTTACCCAAATAGCATAGCCTAATAGGGCCTCCCTGGTGGCTCAAAGGGTTAAGTCTCAGCACTATGAAGCTATCTGCAGCCACTGCAGTAGGAATTGATCCCTGGCCAGGAAGCTGACCCACAAGGCTCAGGAAATGTCTCCTGTCTCACCTTCTGTTCCCCTCAGTAGTGTATTTCAGTGGATCTGCCTATTCTGCTCCTCACTCTGGTGAATCTTCTTACTCCCTGCACCTGTGGCCTGCACCCCAGTTCTTGCATAGATAGATAGACAGATAGATAGATCTTTTAAACAAATAGTATAGTCTGATAATTATATTTATGAAAAAAAAGGAAAACTGCTCTCTCTTGGTTTCTAGGCCCTGTACTTAAGGCAGAGGTGGGACAGATCATCCAGGTTACTTTCTATAACAATGCTCCAGTGCCGCTCAGCATTCAGCCTCATGGGCTACGTTACAACAAGAGCAATGAGGGGTCTTTCTACAAAACACCTGTAGGAAGTAAGTATATCTCAAAAGAGGAGGAATGCCCATGTTAGGCATACTGCCATAGGGCCTCCCTGATGGTGCAATGGGTTAAAGTGTAGCACTGGGAAGATAGCTGCTTCAGCAGGAGCTCGATCCCTAGTCCGGAAGGGGCCCACATGACACAGCAGACCTCTCCTTTCTCACGTGCTGCTCCCTGCAGCAGTATACTGCATCTGTCTGCCTGTTCTGTCTCTGGTGAATCCTCTGACCACCCCCTGAACCTCTGGCCTGTACCCCAGTTCTGTATGCATAAATAAATCAATCTTTAAAAAAGTATGTATAAAACTCCTAAAATCAGTCCACAGCCTACTTTTCACAGCCCATAACTGGTAGTTTATCTATGGTAGAATGATTATTTCAAGTCCTTTCAACTGTCAGTCAAGGTGTTTCAAGGTGAGAAGGATCCAATGATTGTTCTCACATCTCAATAGACCAGTATACTTTTGGACTAGGCTTTTTATTTGTTTAAATAAATATTTATTTCTTACTAGGTCCTCCTCCACTCTCCTCACATGTGAATCCTGGAACAACATTTGTCTACACATGGGAAGTTCCAAAAGATGTAGGTCCTACCCCCACAGATCCCCACTGCCTAACTTGGTTCTACTACTCCTCAGTCAATGAGACAAGAGACATTTACAGTGGCCTAATAGGACCTCTCCTTGTCTGCAGACATGGAAGTCTTGGAGAGGATGGCAAACAGGTAAGTCATGGGAACCAGGTCTGAGGACATTTGGTGAGCATTTGCCTGAGACAGGCCTACAAAGGAAAGACATCATGGAAGTCAGCAGATTCAAGTTCCGTGTGTTCTTATCTCCCAATTCTATTCTTTCCTGCACTTCAGACCTGTGCAGTGTTCTGTTCAATGAACACTGTATTGGCATATTCCACAACACCTCTGAGTAGTTCAACTCTTCATCTCCCTCTGGACAATTCTATTCATTCCTTCTTCCTTGAAGTCAGCCTCTTTTCCTCTATTCTTAGTTAAAGACAACACAAAGCCTGGGACTTTCATCAACAACCCCTTCTTTCTATGTCTTAGTCACCAAATATCCAATACATCCCTTATTTTCAGATACCATCATCACTTTCTGAATTTCTTAACCTCCTATCACCTGTTGCATTTTACATGCATCCTTTTCAAATCTAGCAATAGTGCATCCACACTCAAAGCCAACCCACAATTTGTTGGCTCAGAAGCCAGTATATCAGAATTTACTCTACCATCCAATTTTATAGTCTCTCCCTGTCACTCTGTACACATGAATTCTGCCTTACTGCAGAATTAACCTATTAGCCTTTAACTAGGGAAGCCTCATTCATGTTGCTTTGATTTTGTCCTTCTGTCTAAAATGCTCTTTCTTCATTGTTTGCTCTTTTCACAAAAGAGACATTTTCTCATACTGAACATTCTACCTTCCTGTCAGATAGTTCTCTCTCTCTAAAGTTAATTGAAGTCCTTGCAGGATACCATAGTTCCTCTTGTATGTTTCTTTTCCCATGTAATTATTTTTACTTGCTTATCACGCTGACTATGCTATTAGTTTCTTGAAAGCATACATGACATACAAGGAGGTTTTATTAATTTTTTTTGGTGACAATCACATCCTCCTCTATGGAATAGGGGATCAATGAATTTTTGATAAGTGACTTTTCCTTGTTCCTCACTGACAAGTAAACTAATAGTTTCTTTTCTACTTTTAAAATTCAGATATAATAAAACCTTATAAATCCTCAGATATGATGTGTTGTATATAATTGAATGTATATATTTTCTCAAAAACATGGCTGCATATTTATAATAATCTATCTAATGAAAACTGTAAAATATTCTTATAATTTCTATAGTACATATATTTTGATATTTTATCCAAAACTAATAATACGAATATATATTTAATTTCTTCATAAACTCTCAAAATGCAGGCTTTTATAGAATTGAAACTTTGTATTTAACTTATGTTCCTCAGCAAATTATATCTAAAAATCAACATAAACATTTGTAATTATTCAACTGAATTTTATGGAATTCAGATATACAGTTTTTCAAGAAAAAGCTTTAACTGAAAGTTCATAAGAGGCCAAATCAATTGATCAGAATTTCTCATAGTACACAAATTTTTTTATATGGGAAATTATATATATATAGATCAACAATTTAACTAAATTTGAAATTTGAAATGTGTACCTAAAGTATAAATCTATATTTTAATTTTTTATTCTCATCCACAGAAAGGAATAGACAAAGAGTTTTACATGCTTGTTACAATATTTGATGAAAATAAAAGTTATCTCTTGGATGAAAATATCAGAACATTTATCACACAGCCTGAAAATGTGGATAAACAGGACCCAGATTTCCAAGTCTCTAACAGGATGCACTGTAAGGAATCATTTATTTTATAAGAAATTCATTAAGCAGTTGTTTATTTTCATTATGTCTACATAATTACATAGTGCCTTAAATTTTATATTTTTCACCAGTGGTTGAATAATACGTTTTAGATTTCCTTTAAAAATAACTTCCAGAGGGCCCTCCCTGGTGGCGCAGCGGGTTAAAGCACAGCACTAAGAAGCTAAGGCCACTTCCGCATGAGTTCGATTCCCGCCTGCCCCGGACTAGACCACATGGCGTGGCAGACCTCTCCTGACCCGCCCGCTGCTCCCCTCAGCAGTGTACTTCATCAGACAGCCTGTTCTGCTCCCCACTCTGTCTCTGGTGAATCCTCTCACCGCCCCTGCACCTCTGGCTGTATGCATAAATAGACCTAAAAAAAATTTAATTAATTAAAAATAAATAAATAAATAAATAAATAACTTCCAGGGCCTTCCAGTGGCACAACAGGTTAGGATGCAGCACTGCAAGCTGACTGCAGCCACTTCAGTATGGGTTCAATCCCCCACGAGGGGGTTGATCCACATGGTGCAGCAGACCTCACCTGTCTCGCCCTCTGCTCCCCTCAGCAGTATATAGCTAAATTCAATTTTGCAAATGTTTATCAATGCATTTTTGGTGCAGTGCACGTTGTTAGCTGTTGCCAAGTATGAGACAGAAAAATGATGTTCTTCTCCGTGGCAGAATTGGTGGAGTAGATGGGTACAGTGTTAACTCGGTTGGTTGATCAATTGATCAGTTTTCAAATCTGTGAGGCATAATGGTATAATGGGAAAATAGATTGGTTTATATTCTGGAGGCTCAGATCTGGTCTTAACAGTTCCATTTATTAGCTTAATGACACTGTACAAGAAGCTGCCTCTCTGTTTTCAGTTTTTTCAAATCTGAAAGGAAAGTGTTGTGTGAGTAATCGTGAGATTACTTACTCCTTTTTCCGCATAACTTTGCCAAATTTCTTTGACTTCTTTATTGCTTTCTTTTTTATATATATATTTATTTATTTGTGCATACAAAACTGGGGTACAGGCCAGAGGAGCAGGGGCAGTGAGAGGCTTCACCAGAGACAGAGTCAGGAGCAGGACAGGCAGATAAACGAAGTACACTGCTGAGGGGAGCAGTGGGTGGGCCAGGAGAGGTCTGCCACGCCATGTGGATCACCTCCAGGGCGGTATGGAACTCACATGGAAGTGGCTGCAGCTGGCTTGCTGTGCTGCACTTTAACCCCTTGTGCCACCAGAGAGGGCACTCCATCTTTTTATATATATAGATACATAAATATGGGCCAGCCACATGGGGGTATGGTAGTATCCCAGTGAGGCTTCAATTTGCATTTCTCTTATAAATGATGTCGGTAAATTTTTCATGTGTCTGTAGATCATCTGAATGTCTTCTTTAAAGAAGGGTCTATTGAAGACCTTTGCTTATTTTGAAATTGGGTCATTTGTTTCTTGTTGGATGAGTAAGGATTTTTTTTTTTTTT